GGGGACTGGTTACCACCGTATGGGCCTTAATTTAAGCAGAAATTTTTCAATTGCGGAATGAATTGAATTGTATTTGAATGCATGAGTTGAATGGTAAAGTAGTTGCAGTAGGTAGCGAAAGCAATTAACAGAATATTTATCATATTTTTTAGGAGGGAAAGTTTTACAGTATGATATTTAAAAGAACTATGGAATACAAAAAATGCGTTCCTATTCCTTTATAAACTGTCATCCGAGATATTCACAAATAATTCATATAAAACTGTTTACTGCCGCCGTTCTAACAATGAATTCTTGAATTATTATCACCTCAAATTTTTTATTTGTTAGTTATGTCCGAGCCCACTAGGACTCAAAAATTTGATGAAAAATGAAAATAAAAGCGAAGTTTTCTTATGAATTTGAATCAAACTAACAACGTGAATAACCAATGCTTTGGAACTTCAATGGTCAGCTGGTGATCACAATTTACGAAGATCAAGAACGACGACACTCCCATCAGATGCTGATGCCCCCACTTTGTCGCCTCTACTATTCCAACACACTTCGAATATTCCACCCGTTCCTTTGTAGCTGTGCACTAATTGTCCACTCTGAAACAGTAATTAAAAGATTTTAGTATACTGCTGGACGTATTCGATAGATGTTGAAAAGTTTGTGACCGATAGAAATTTTTCTCCATGTTTTTACCTGGGTCGACCAAATGTGAACACACTTGTCAAAACTTCCACTAGCCAAGAATTTACCATCTGGACTGAAAGCCACACTGTAAACTGGCTCGGTATGTTTTGTTAAAGTATGTATGCAGGCACCTCGTTCAACATCCCATAGTCTCACGGTTGAGTCAAACGAGGCACTGGCCAATGTCAGATTCATGTTAGGGTTTTGTGTTCCTGGTCCAGTTGGTGACCATTTTATTGTGTAGATTTCTTTATTGTGTGCTTGGAGGTCGTGCACCCACGTGTCTTGTTTCATTGACCAGATTTTCAAGGTCATGTCATCAGAGCAACTCGCGAGTAGATTTCCTTGTGGGTCCCATTTTATAGCATTCACTTCGTTCTGGAAAATATGTCGGATTAAATTGGTAATTCATTTTATTTAATAAAGTATTCATTAGGATATCGAGGGAATTCAATTTTTATAGTAATAGAGAAAACTGCGTTGATTAACTGATATTACAAAAATGCCAATAGAATCTCGACACAAATTGAACACTCCATCACTGTTGCAGACACTACAGTAATTATCCTACCCCGGAGGTGAGCAACCCCAGCTCTCGGATCTACTCCGGCTCCTGGCCTCCATTAGGCAAAATTGTCCCAAGCCCAAAAGTTTATGGCTGCACCCCCTTCGGGCCCATGATGCCCTGCGCGTAGACAAGAGTAGTAGGGATATTCGACAGAAACTCGATGATGGGAAAATTAAAATAGTAAATTTTGCCCTTGCATTTCAATTACGCGCATGCGCCACCTTTCGGTGTATCCCCACCACACGAATAAATGACAACCCTTACAATAACATTAGATCCCTTATAATTGGAACCTTAATACTTTTATGGCTACAGCCCCGAGCCTACCTGAAGTTACCCACCTCTGCCCTATCCTATCAAACCGTAATCGTTTTTTGAGACTCCTTCAGACTCAAGTTTAGTTACGGGTGTTTCTTTTTCATTTTTTTATTGTAAAGCTCAGGAAGATCTTTACCGATTACAGTGGAGGCTCTATAGAGAAGGCCCGCTATACATCTATACCAGAGCTTGTTAACCAGGGCTCATTTGGCTCACGCGGCTTCCGAGCTTCGTTAGTAAGAGCTGGGAGAGGAGCCTTATCCACATAACGCAGGGCAGTTACCTTCAGGTAGCTGGGTGTCATCGTATTATTAGGGTCGGAACAACATCCAAATCCTGATGTTCATACAATTAGCTTTTTAATTTTCAATATAAAATTGAAAAATTGAAATTTGGTATAAGAAATAACAAAGAAAAAATATTTTTCATACTCTGGTAGATAAATAAACTAAAAAATAAGTATAGTATATTACGCAACAAGTGCGTAATGGATTTTTTGGCTCGTGGAAGGGTTATAACACGAGATATAAGCCTTACCCAGGTCTAACTCGGTTTGTTTGTCGGGAGATTGTAGAAATTTTTATTTGGTAAACAGAATTATTTAGCCTAATATTACTGCTTGTATTGAATTAAATATCCATATTAATATTTAAAATTGACGGAAAATTTGTAGCAATAACGCTTTAAGAATAGGGCTTCCTACGAGCCTGATGGCACTGATTATTTCAACTGGAAAAGACCCCATATCGACAATATGGCGACATTCCCAACCTTGTTTTTATTGATTTGAGTTTGTTTGCCAAATCAACTTACGAAATTTCATGACATCCTTGCGCGCCAAAAATGAATAATCTTTGAAAAACTATAAAAATCGTATGGTTTTGGTTCTATCGTATTGGAATTGCGGTGAGACTTGGCAATGTTGAAGGAAGATACTTTGTGTATACGAGTCACCAAACAACAATCGAAGCATTCACAGTTCGATTTTGAAATTGTGAATAGTGAAAATTCGGTTGATTCTGTTTGCAGTTTTTTATCCATTGCATTTTTACAACAGTTCCGTTTGTTAAAATTCGAGCAGTCGAATTTTCATAGTTTCTGAGGAGGATTTCATTAGCAGAAACGTTATCAATGGCTGGAGAATTGACACATTGTTGCCAAATCGCGCTTGGGGATATCAACCGAATTGATTATTTTTCTGAATAACTTTTATGGATAAAATTATTCATTAGATCATAAGAAATCCATAAATAGTTAAACAATAACAAAAGCACATATTTCATCTCTTAGTATTCTATTGCTCGAAATTTCATTTTTCATTTACTAGCAGTTGCAAATCTGAGCTGGTTTGAGTTTTTATTGC